CACGTGCGCTTAGCGATAGGGCATGAAAAGTGCTAGAAAACAGCCATGTGAGTGTGTAGCACCTGATGAGATGTGAAGTCATGGGAGGTTTGAGGGCTGGCTTTCTGGTTGAAAAGATACCTGACCTATGCCCTGAAAAGTGCTGAAAGGAGCTGGGAGAAGGTGGGAGTTGGGATGTGGAAGGGAAGTGACTGAAGTAGTAGGCCTGGAGGGAATAAACTCCCTGAGCTCTTTCAGATGGCACTGAGGAAGGAAGTTCTCCAGGTCTCTTCTTGCAAGGGCCCTATCCCATCATGACCTAATCCCTCCCAAAAGGTACAGCTCCTAGTGCTATCCCATTAGGGTTTGCATTTCAAACCTTAATTTGAGGGAGACACAAACATGCCTTCTATGACACATCACCAAGAAAAAAGAACAAATAAATCTATAATCTCAGATAGTGATAAGTGCTGTACCAGAAAAAAGAAATGAAGGGCATGATGAGCCTTTTTGCCTAGAGTAGTCAGGGACAGTCTTTGAAGAGGTGATATTTGAACAGAAATGTGAATAAATGATCGTTGGATGAGCTCCTGTAGGGGGCAAGCATTTCCAGCCAAGGGAACAGCAAGTGCAAAGATCCTGAGTTAGGAGGGCCTAGCATGGGAGGACAGCCGAAAGGCCTGTGTGGCTGGAGTAACAGGATCGAGGAAGGGGCCAAACAAGAGGAAATGAAGTCAGAGGTGGGGCTGAGGGCTATCATAGAGGGCTTTGTCCATCATGTCAGGGACATGAGATTTCTTTTACAGTGAGCATAGAGAGTCTGAAAAGAGAGATAAAGGCAGAGTGAACTCAGATGACAGAGAAAGTGGTAAATTCAGTTTGAAATTCTTAGACTTTATAACGATAGTCATGGGGTGTCAAAGCTCCCAGAGCACCCTGAGGTAAACAGGAAGTGGCCTGGAAAGTGGCTCTCTGTAGGACTCAGAGACTGTTCCCTGGAAAGGCCCAGTGAGCTAACCTGAGGTCCAGACTCTGCCATTCCCAGCCTGACAAGGACCAGCTCCAAACTCCAATCTACTAGGCATAAACTGTCTCAGACTATCTCATGGGTTTCCAACTTGATTTTGCACAGTCATGTCCTGTACAACATTGTGTCCCTCTGTTTTATGCTGTGTTTCTAATTCTCACTGGATTCCAAGACTGGCTGTCCCTCCTCCTCCAGGTTGTCTGCCATGCTGCCCACCCCGGCTGGGTATGTCCCACGGTCCCCTAGCCTTCTCCCTGGTCTGGGGCCCATGCCATCTTCACAAATCTCTAGCAGAGACTGCATTCTTCCAAGGTGGGACCATGGCAGACTCAGGCCTGAGCCTTCAGGACCCAGCACTGGAGCTTAGCATCAGAGATCACCAGAAAGTGGATGGCCCATTTCCCAAATGGAGGGGCCACAACATATATGTCCCTCATGGAAGAGAAGTGCCCTGTGCTGACTGTATCACATCCCCTCCTCTGGAGGGCTCATAGCTTCCCTTTGCAATCTCTCATTTCTGCAGTACAGCTTTTGAAGCCTGCCCTTTCTCTCTGTCCATTTTCTTCACCCTAAAGGCATACAGTTCAGAAGAGATTCATTGAATGTTCAACTCTTTAGATCTTCCTTTCTCTCAAAGAATAAAAAAGAAGAAAGCCTCTTCTTATTGCTTTTCTCTGTCATTAATTTACTTTTCAAAAGACACCTTGTCAAGCCAAAGATTATATCTTTAAACCATGTGTTTACACCCACACCCTATAAAACCTGAGATTATAGATCTCCTTAAAGGACCTAAGGGAAAATGTGCTGCCGAGTTTTGTGCTTTTTGCTTTGTAGGAACAAATCACTGCTGGGGAAGGAAAAGCACTGATCTAGGAAAGCGTGGCCCCTTTTGCAATTGCCACTGCTGCTGTGCTTGAATTTCTAAAACTGCTGGGGATGTAGCATCATCAGCGAAGTGGTTCTCTGGCTCAGAGGGCAGGAAGGTGGCCTTGCTCACCGATGGCTTTGGCTCACAGGTGATCCTGGTAGTTATTTAATCTCCAAGTTCTCCAAGTTACTGCACAGACATTCTAACACCCCCGCCCCCTTGCTTCTCATTTCTTCCCCTTGCAAATATACCACAAACTTCTGGTTCCTCTACTGGCTGACAATACAGAGCAGAGGTGTGGAGGGAAGTGTGTACTGGACACCATGCCTTCCATCCATGGCCTGACAGCTCTGTGACCCACGAGACTCAATCTTGTGGAGACCCAGTTTCCTTTGCTATAAAGCAAACTTTAAAAAATGGCTGATAAAAGATAGAAGCAGGGTGTGTGTGGCTCACACCTGGAATACTTGGGAGGCTGATATCTGGAGGATCACAGTTCTAGGCTAGCCCAGGCAAAAGATTCTCCAGGGACCCCATCTCTACACTAAAAAGCTGGGCATGGTGGCACGTGCCTATCATCCCAGCAAGGGCGGTAAGCCAAAATAGGAAGGATGTTGGTTCAGGTTAGCCTGGGGAAACCGGAGCTAGAAGAGCAGGAGGCATGGCTCAAGAAATAGAGTGCCTGCTTTGTCCATGCAAGTAGGATGACTTCTCCACTCTCAAGGGTTCTTATCCTTCGCTGCACTTGGAACTGCCTAGGGAGGTTTTAAAACTACAGATATGTGGTTCCTGCCCCCAGTGACTCAGATTTAATTGGTCTGGGGTGCAGCTTCCAGACATCAAGGTTTATAAAACTCCCCCAGGCATTCTATCGTGTCACAAGGTTGAGAACTATTGAACTACTGTTTATAGATCAAGACCAAATGTCCTCTGCAAACTGTCCAATAGGCCTGGCCCATCTGGCTACCGGTCATCTTCTAGCCTAGTCAGTAGCTGCTGCTCCCTGGTAAGTAATCAATGTAAATTAATTTTTAATGTAAACTAATTTTAACAGTAAAAAGTAAATTAATGAAACAATGGAAAACAATAAGGGGGTCTTTTTTCTTCTTTCAGATAGATCTAAGTTATTCAGAAATGAATTTCTAAGCCAAATGCTTTAATTAATAATTATAATAATGATGACGATACTAGTGATTTACTGTGTGACAGGCATTGTGATGTGTTTTACATACCTTACTTCATTTGCTTTCATTATCTTCCCCACTCCTCATTCCCAACATACACACACACAATCCCTGCCCCTCCAACATTCAAACTCTCACCTTCAAACTTGTTTTGTGCTGAATTAATTTTCCTTCCTACCTTCCTTTCTTTCTTTTTCATTGAACAAAGATTTATTTCATTTGCTAATTTCTTTTGTTATTTATTTTCGGCAGTACTGGAGTTTGAACTCAGAGCCTTAATCTTGATAGGCAAGTGTTCTGCCACGTGAGCTATAAAACGTGCAGCCCTTTTTACTTTTAGGTTTTGTTTTTAGATAGCATGTAGCTTTTTGCCTCGCTCGGCATGGGACTTTGATCCTCCTACCTATGCCTCCTGCATAGTTGGGATTACAGATGTGCACCACCCTCTGCTTGTTTGTTGAGATGGGAATCTCATTACCTTTTTTCCTGGGCTGGTCTTGAACTACAATCCTACCAATGTCTGTCTTCCAAGTGGCTGGGATAAAAGGTGTGAGCCACTGTGACTGGTCCCCTTATTTGCTAGTTTCTTAAAAGCTCTCATGACATGTATTGAGGCAACTAGAGAAATCTGGAAATATCTCAAATCCAGGAGTAAGAGTTATTAGGTCAAGTGTATGTATTAGATAAGACAGAGGCTATACATTAGAAAATGTATAGATCATTTGACTTTTCTTAAAGGTAGCAGATGATTTTGCTGGATTTCTATCTGAAAGGTCTCCTCCCTGTTAACCCAGTTGAAAAATTCTTCAAGATCTGGGTCAGACCTATGCCATCTCTAATACACACTCATGGGAAGATAAGTCTCTCTCCATCCTGTTCTCCTTCAGCATATTTTGATATCAACTCAGCAGTTATTTTCCTTTAGCCCTAAAATCTTCTCTAACTGTTCCATGTATACAGTCAGTCCTCTGTATCCAAGCGTGAAGTCAACCAACTTTTGAAGGACAAGGTGGCTAGGCCTGTGATGGTTATATCTGTACTGTGCTGTACAGATTTTTTTTCTTCTTATAAGTCCCTAAACAATACAGTATAATAAAATTTCCATAGCATTTATACTGTATTGGGTATTCTAAGTAATCTAGAGGTGATTTAAAGTATGCAGAAGGATGTGCATATAACTATATGCAGATAGTATGCCATTTGTATAAGAGACTTAAATATCTGTGGACTTTCAATCTGTAGTAGGTCTGGAACCAATCCTGGTGGATACCAAGGGATGACTGTGTATAAATCATATTGCTACCCTAACAAGATTGAGAACTGTGAAAAGTTATGAGGCATGAGTATGTGTGTCAGTCACCAAACATTCCTACTGTACACTGGTAGTGTAGATTTGGCCCTCAAGACACTGGTATTAGAAGGCTGTGCTTTAAGAGGAGACAAGGTCATGAAGGTAGAGTCCTATGAGTGAGTTATTGTCCTTATAAAGGAGTCACCAGAGATTCTCTAGCCCCTTTCACCATGTGAGGAAATAGCAAAAAAAAAAAAAAAAAAAACAGTCCTACATAAACCAAAAGCCAGCTTTTATCAAACACTGGACCTGGTGACACCTTAATCTTGCACTTCCAGCCTCCAAAACTATGAGAAATAATCCCTGTTGTTTCTAAACTACCCAGTTTATTGTTACAGTAACCTGAATGGACTAGAATAAAGAAGGGAGAGTGTGCTATAACAACAACTACCTAAAATACAGAACCTGTTAAAGGATAGAGCTGGAAGAATTGTGAGGTTAATGCTAGAAAAAAAGGATTCGAGGCTGGGGGTGGATGAAGAAAACAGTCTGTTGGTTCGCATTTTCTCTCAGCTGAAAGAAGTCTGGATCCAGTAGCCAGTGCAGCTGGCAGCATCCACAGCCTCCATTCCAATCTGCACCCAGAAATGCTCAGCAGGCCTGGGTCTGCACCTTCTGCCCTGGGCATGGTGCGCCTCCATTCTGGGGGGCAGGGTTGTTGCACTCTCTCTTCCTCTCCTGGGTTCCCCCTCTGCATGCAGACCAGGAGCTCCAGCAGCTCCAGCGACCATCTGCTTTGGCACCTGCAGAGAAAATGTGCCAGTGGAGGATGAGGTTAGTAGCTGGCTGGGAAGGCAGGGACACAAGGGCACTGCTGTTGCCCTGCAGTGGTCTGCAGTCCCTCCTTGGGGAAATGCCCTGGGGTAATTAACCAAGACATCTGTGCTCACTGCCTCACACTTAATTTGAAACTCTAGGCAGAGTAAGAAGAGGCTGCTGGGAACCCATCTCATGAAATTTGAACCCGCGCTTCCATGGAAGATGGTTTGCCGAGCAAGACAAGACACAGTCTCCCCTGGGAAAATGACACCAAGTCACTGGAGGTGGTGAGGAGCAGGGAGCACCTCCATGCTGGGGATTCAAAGTAAGGGGTGGCCAGACACCAATCTGCAGCAGATTGCTGGGCTCTTGTGTGAGTTTGCAAATCAAACCCCCTCCAATTCTGACAATGGGCTATGGTGGGTGACAGAGTCTCTGCACAGAGCATCTGAACACTTAGACCGAACTGGATTCTCTGGAAACCCAGTGCACAGAATCCAGACCAGGGTAGCTGGCTCCTACCAGCTCTGTATCTTTGGAAAAGCCTATCTCCCTCTAAATTTGAGTTTGGGGCTCTATAATTTGAGAAGGCCGCACTAATCCAATTTTTTTTAATACAACCTTTTTTTCCTAAATGAAATCTTCTATGAACCCCAACATGTCGGTCAGATGAAAGTAGGGTACACTATTTGTAGCTGGGGTATCTATCAGGTTCACCCTCTGTCCCTGGGGCAGAACCTGGGGCCTTAAGTCTCCTCAAATCACAGTGTGAATGCCATCAGATTAGACTGTCTCCAAGTCCCTTCCAGCTCTGTAATTACACTCCCTGATGGGCAGCCACAGCAGGATTCTCTCTCTATTTCTCCCACCTCTGTCACTCCAGCCCCACAGGCAAAGATTTGCTGGGGAAATATCTAGGGTTTCAAGGATATCCATGGTGCTTTCGATGTATCGCAGCCTTAGATTTCCTTGCCAGCCTGTCTGTAAAAGTTCAGTTTGATGGCCCAAAGGCACCTGATGTCCACACTCTGCTTGGAAGAAGGTTAATGGAGCTCCATGAGCTACTTACAGCTAACTGAATATAAGGGAATGAATGTAGGAGGACTGGGATTTCGAATTCAGCCCTCTGTCCCTTACCCTAACCTGGATTATTAGCATCTTGTTTCTCTTTCACTGCCCATTGCATATGCATATGACATGACACGATTGCCACTAAACCTGGCCCCAGACCCTGGAAGATGTCTATCTAGGTAGCCCACACCCCCTCTTCTCTCTGCCTCTTTGGACAAAGATACAAACAAGTCAAGGATCCCATGGGTCTGTGAAGAGCAATAATTATGATTACCCAGGAAGGATCACATGTGTCTCTTTAAGCCAGGCCAACCTGATAACTATGAACTGGCATATACTCCCTCTCCACTACCTAAAATGATAGTCATTGAAATTGTCTCAGAGCCTCTGCTCCCATTTGAAATTTGTTGAACATCCTAATTCAGGATGTGAATCAGTAAAGTGTAATGACCAAGACTTCCAATCTCTAGTTACATGACCTTTGAGCAAGTTATCTCACATTACTCCTGCCCAGGTTCCTCATCTGTTAATTGAGGTTAATAATTTCATTCATCTTATAAGGACCCTGTGAAAATACACAAGAAGTGAGACCATACACAGGAAGTGCTGTTATAATGGCTGGCACTGAATAAGGATTAGTTATTATTTCTATTCATTGACCTTTGGTACCATTGGGAAAGTTGCTGGCAGAGAGTGGCTGCAACCTAGTTCCCACTCTGCTGGTTAAGTCAAGAGAGCCCTGAGTGCTGGAGTTGGGCTCTTTCAGCCCAGAATGGTTTTATTTTTCTTTCCCAACTCACCAATTCCCGGTGGAATTGGCTTTCTTCAACTCACAGGAGGAAACTGTGCAACAGGCTTGGCTCTATTGGTTGGTTGTTGATTTTTATTTTCTGCATCCTTCTTCCTTGGGACTTGGCTTTCACTCACCCTGCTGTGTCACCCTTGCTAGAATTTTCCCTACAGGATACCAGACAACATATTGGGACCCAAGTTGTACTTTCTTCTTGAAGCAAAGGAGAGATTTACATAAGGAGCCAACCCAGGGCACAACCTCCACCATGGAATGTCCTGCATGAAACGGCCTCTTCCATCTGCTAACTCTAACAGAACCTCCCACTTGTGTTAGCTGGTTTAATCCTCAACACCACCTGTGAAGAACATACTGGTATAATCTCATTTTACAGGACACGCCTAGATAAAAATTGGGAGAACTGTGATTCAAAATCTTGTCTGACACCAGAGCTATGTTATCTTGCCCCCTATTTGGAACTACTCTGTCAATGAGTGAGCAGTAGCCCACCATCTCACTGTAAAACCAGGTCTGCTTGGTAGAGATCTTCCTTGAATCCTAAGGAAATTACCATCTATGGCTTCTTCCAAACCAAAGTAAATTTGATAATTTGCAGCTTCAAACTATCAACTTTCATCATGTTACCATCCCTTGTTTAGGTCAGAGACTCAGAGAATCTGGAGGTAGAAGAGATCTTGAGGCCATCTTACCCAACCATCCACCTCCCTTCCTCACTACATATATACCACTATGTGCTTGGAAGAAGGTCTTTTTCATTAAGCCCAAATCCTCTTACTACATTAGTCCTGCAATTTCATCTCAGTAGTCACACAAAATAAGTCTCGTCCCTCCCCCCATATGGTAGTTCACAGAGAACTTGTTCCTTCTGAGTGCTCCATGCAAAGATCTTTCCAATTCTTCCTCTTAGGACAGAGGTTTGACTCTTCCAATTCCCCCAGTTTCCCACTTTATTTCACCAATGTCTGAAGAAGCATGCACTGAGACAAAACTGACATGTCAAAGAAGAATTGCATTCAAGCTCTTTACCTCTGTTAACCTAGCCCTTTGCTCTGGGAGCATCTGATTGAGTCAACTGGGACTAAATGCTTGGTTCATTTTTTACACATGGATGTTAAGTACCATGACTTCCTCCCTGTCTACCCTATATTTTGACTTTATTTATGGACTCAAGTATCTTGGATTTACCCATCCAGCCTTCCTGTGTTTGTTTCTTTCTTTCTTTACATTTTCTTCATTATGGTGGCCAAATGGGATTGATGTATACATTGAGTTGGCAGCCCATATGCACCATACTAAAGCAGTTATGTGCCTAGAAAATTGTAAGCTTAGAAAATGAGACATTCTTGGAGATTGTTGGAGTTCAAAAGAAGCTTAGATGAAAAAGCTAAGCCCCAGAAAGAAGAATTTAACCACAATGAATTAGTGAAAAAGTTGTAATTCATGTCCAGGTCCCCAGAGTTCTTCATCTTGAAGAGGTGGATATTTTACTCTAGTTCGACAATATTCTTTCCTTGTTGCAGTCAATTCATGCTGTACACTCCTGCATTTGAACGTCATTTGCCCAAACTTTGTTTTTAGTCTTAACGCCTTAGTAGGAGTGTAATAACAACCACTTATCCCTTGTAGGGGGTTTGATTATATTCCCCTAAAAAATAAGATCAAGTCTAAATCCCCATTATCTATGAACATAACCTTATTTGGAAATAGGGACTTTGGAAAATCATGTTAACATGAAGTCATACTGAATTAGAGTGAATCCTAATCCAATGACTTGTGTTCTTATAAGAAAAGAGACAGGGGCTTGGGGTGTGGTTCAAATGGTAGAGTGTCTACCTAGCAAACTCAAAACCTTGAATTCAAACATTAGTACCACACACACAAAAAGAAATGCAAAGAAAACAGGGACAAAATGGGAATAATGCACTGGGTGCCGGTGGTTCACGCCTGTAATCCTAGCTACTCAGGAGGCAGAGGTCAGGAGGATCATGGTTCAAAGCCAGCCTGGGCAAATAGCTCAAGAGACCATGTCTTGAGAAAACCCTTCACAAAAAATGGTTGGTGGACAAAAACTGCTGGGAAAACTGGTTAGCAGTCTGCAAAAAACTGAAACTAGATCCATGTATATCACCCTATACCAATATTAACTCAAAATGGATCAAGGATCTTAACATCAGACCCCAAACTCTTAAGTTGATACAGGAAAGAATAGGAAATACTCTGGAGTTAGTAGGTAGAGGTAAGAACTTTCTCAATGAAACCCCAGCAGCACAGCAACTAAGAGATAGCATAGATAAATGGGACCTCATAAAGCTAAAAAGCTTCTGTTCATCAAAAGAAATGGTCTCTAAACTGAAGAGAACACCCACAGAGTGGGAGAAAATATTTGCCAACTATACGTCAGACAAAGGACTGATAACCAGAATATATAGGGAACTTAAAAAACTAAATTCTCCCAAAACTAATGAACCAATAAAGAAATGGGCAAGTGAACTAAACAGAACTTTCTCAAAAGAAGAAATTCAAATGGCCAAAAAACACATGAAAAAATGCTCACCATCTCTAGCAATAAAGGAAATGCAAATTAAAACCACACTGATTCCACCTCACCCCTGTTAGAATAGCCATCATCAGCAACACCACCAACAACAGGTGTTGGCGAGGATGCGGGGAAAAAGGAACCCTCTTCCACTTTTGGTGGGAATGTAGACTAGTACAACCACTCTGGAAAAAAATTTGGAGGCTACTTAAAAAGCTAGACATTGATCTACCATTTGATCCAGCAATACCACTCTTGGGGATATACCCAAAAGACTGTTACTCCAGAGGCACTTGCACATCCATGTTTATTGTAGCACTATTCACAATAGCCAAGTTATGGAAACAGCCAAGATGCCCCACCACTGACAAATGGATTAAGAAAATGTGGTATCTATACACAATGGAATTTTATGCAGCCATGAAGAAGAATGAAATGTTATCATTCGCTGGTAAATGGATGGAATTGGAGAACATCATTCTGAGTGAGGTTAGCCTGGCTCAAAAGACCAAAAATCGTATGTTCTCCCTCATATGTGGACATTAGATCAAGGGCAAACACAACAAGGGGATTAGACTATGAGCACATGATAAAAGTGAGAGCACACAAGGGAGGGGTGAGGATAGGTAAGACACCTAAAAAACTAGCTAGCATTTGTTGCCCTTAACGCAGAGAAACTAAGCAGATACCTTAAAAGCAACTGAGGCCAATAGGAAAAGGGGAACAGGTACTAAAGAAAAGGTTAGATCAAAAAGAATTAACCTAGAAGGTGACACCCACGCACAGGAAATCAATGTGAGTCAATGCCCTGTATAGTTATCCTTATCTCAACCAGCAAAAACCCTTGTCCCTTCCTGTTATTGCTTATACTCTCTCTACAACAAAATTAGAAATAAGGGAAAAATAGTTTCTGCTGGGTATTGAGGGGGGCGGGGAGAGGGAGGGGGCAGAGTGGGTGGTAAGGGAGGGGGTGGGGGCAGGGGGGAGAAATGACCCAAGCCTTGTATGCACATATGAATAATAAAAGAAAAAGGAAAAAAAAATGGTTGGTGGAGTGGCTCAAGGTGTAGGCCCCAAGTTCAAGCCCTAGTACCACGAAAGAAAAAGCAGCGGTGGGGGGGTGGTGAAATAATGCCACAATGCCACGTGAAGGTAGATGCAGAGGTTGTAGCAAAGCATCTACAAACCAAGGAACATATGAACCAAGGACAACCACAGAAGCTGAAGAGGAGCATAGAGCACATTCTCCCTGGAGTTTCTGAAAGGAAACAACTTAGCCATAGCACATGGTACTGGACTTCTAGCTTTCAGAAGACTGAGACAATAAAGAGTCTTAAAGGCAGAGAGAATCTATTAAACATGGGGGATCAAAAATAGAATTCTTGAGTGTGGATTCCTAGGGCAGTGGATGAGAGGGCACGGAAAGGAGATCCTGGGAACCCTGAAGGACCTTCCTGCCTTGGCCCCTTCAAGCTGGGTCAGGTGGAGCAGGGTAGGATGCATGGGCCTTACCCTCCAGTTGAATCTGCTCACAGGCAGGGCCTTGGTGACCCAACCTACACTGACATCGGCAGCTGGTGCCCTCAAGGATGGGCTCTCCATTGTTTAAGCATGGTCCACAACGACAGGCATTGAATTCCATCAGGTACTGGTCCAAGGCCCTGTGCAGGTTCTGGCGTTTGGTCTCCAGAGGCCCCAGGTTGGTGTGCAGCAGCATCTCATGGATGGGCTGTACCTGCAGGCACAAGAAGAACTCAACGTTCCTCCCTGGGCTCCTCCCACCTTCCCAGAGCCCCAAAACCTGCTGCCAAGCTTTGGCCAGGCATCCTGCATGCCAGGCACAGTGGCAGATGCCCCAACTTTCTCCTACCACCATGATCCTTTCAGCCACTCTGTGAATGGACACTAAACACCCCAGCTCACAGATGGGGAAATGGAGACTGAGAGTGTTCACATGACTGACTCGGCAGAGCCACTCTGAACCTATACCCTCCAATCCCAGAGTAAGAAGCGAGTTTATAAATTATTTGGTCAACTTCCTGACACTTTAAGAGTCAGCTAACATATTTGTATGTCTGCATGTTTGGGTATGCTTTCTTGTTTTTCATTGTCACCATTCAATGCAGACATTGAGAAAGGTAGTTTGCAATGCCCTCTAATAATGTAAGTGTGGTGGTGTTGTGGGGGTGGGTGGGGGTTTCACTGCAATGGTGCTCCTCATTTCAGTAATGAGTGGAGTCCTGGGTCTCTCAGCCCAATACCATGCATTTCAATTGGAGAACTCTTTTTTGGCAGAGTGAGCTGTCTCCATTGTGGTGTGCTTAGCAGCATGCCTGGCTTCTACACACTAGATGCCAGCAGTGCCCTTCTAGTCGTGAAAAGCAAACCTGTCCCCTAACATTACCAAATGTCTCCTGGGGGCAAAATGGCCTTGGGTTGAGAAACAATAGATGTGGTAGAAAGCTCATTGAATTTGGAGTCAGTAAACCTAGCTTCTAATTCCAGCTCTCCTACTTCCAGCTGTGTGGTCTTTTGCAGGTGACCCACTGAGTCTCCCTTTCTCATCCATAAATGAGAACAGTCACTTGTCCTTCAGGTCTATTGTGAGGATTTAGGGAGATGACACATGCGAAAACCCTGTCTCACAAATAAATGCTGTTTACTGCCCAGCTGTGCAGCCCATGACTCTTAACTGCCCCTGTCTTTACCTGAAGACAGTATTTGCTTTCTAGAATTCTTATGGTTTAAAGAAGTAATGAGTGTGCAATGCCACTGCAAGAGGGAAGAATAATATAAAACAAGCACCATTTTCATTAGTTAGATATGATGAAAAAATTGGTGTTTTTCAAATTGCATATGCATATGGTTATCTTTAGCACCTTACACTGTTAGGTATTTCAATAGAATGTTAAAATGAAAGCTTTTCTCCAGGTGTCTCATTTTAAAGGAGAAGAAGCCAAGGCTCCAACAGGGGGAAGTGTTTTTCTGAGGTCACAGAATAAGTCAGTAACAGGTTGGAGCCACACTGGGGGCAGTCCCACTTTTCTGGAAACAGAAGTCAACAAAGGGTGTTTGCAACAGCCTTGACTAGTTCCTGGAAATGTGGACATCAAGACCGGTGGCAAACAGACATTGGTAAGCAGTCAGGGGCCACAGCAGCAGCCACCAGGCAAGTGATAGCAGGATTGGATGGGGCCCCAGCCAAGATCGCTTACTGGAAGTTCACTGAATGTGGCCCGCTGTCAGGACATCAGTGTAGAATTATTGCCCTGTGGCCCTGGTTAAAAATGACTTTCAGTTCCAGAGAAGGTCAGGGACATTGCAGGTGCCTCAGCACTCAATTTCCACATCTCACACTTCTCTCTGCCCTCTCCCTGCACTAGAATTCTCAGGAAGCACTCCCTGGGAAGGCTGGTGGGACTTAGGGACAGGATAGAGTAAAGAAGAAAGAATCTTAGAACTCAAAAACATTGACAATGATATTTTTCCATTTGTTACAGAAGAGCAAAAAGATTCATAGAAGGTAAATGATGTAGCAATACCGAATAAGCTAACACATAGCACATCATAGCACATACAGTACATAACATAAAACATAGCAAAATATACTCCTGTATTCACTTGATCTAAGTACTTGCAGTAAATAATCACTCCTAAGTTCTGGGGAAATGTTAGTGACCAAGACCCAAGACACTGATTCTACTCTGGACATCGGGCTCCACATAACCCCTAACTGGTCTCCTTGCCAATAGTCTGTCTGTCCCTCTCTCCACTAACCCCCCTCTATGACTGATCTTTCACCTTTCCTTTTCCTGTGATCATACCCTTTTTAAAGCACAGCACTAGATGTGTTGCTTCTCTAGTCTAAAATCTGCCAGTGGCTTAATGTGTCAAGTCCACACTTCTCAGGGGGCAGAGATTGTGGATTTAAGAGTCGGTCTGACATGGCTCAGGCTAGGCTGTGTCATTTGCTGGCTTTCAGCTCTTGTGCTGGTCACTTACCCTCCAGGAACCTAGTTCCTCACCTAACATTCACTAAGTACCCAGTTCTCTCTCTAACCTTATGAAGAAACCTGTTATTCCATTGGTATGCACAAGGAAAGTGGGTCTGAGAGAGTGAAGTAACTTATCCAAGGTCACACATTGAAAAGGTGGCTGAGCATGACCCCTACTAGGCCTTTCCCCTTCCTTCCAAACACCAGGCTCATTTTTCCAAAGTTAGTATTCATTCTCCAAATAGAGAATCTCTATCTTCCCCTTGGAAGTTTTGCTTAAGGCAAACACAAAGTTCACCTCTTGACCGTGAAAGTTTATATATTTCTCCTGATATCAATTTATAGTTTTTGCCCAATCACTAATAGCTTGATGATAGCAATTTTCAGACCCTATGTGAATTACAGATGCGTGAAAGTGGTCCCTTAGTTATTGGAGAAGAAATGAAATCAAGGTTAATCCATCTGACCTCTTTCTTCATAGAAAGCAGGGTGTTATAATAGACTTTTAGGTTTAACTGTTGGTAATGTTTTAGGAGAAGTGTATCTATATCTAGGATTTTAAATACATGTAGAAAAAATGGGCAAGGAGAGAGAAAATGGCTGAGAAAACAATATTTTGCTTTAAAGTATGAAACACAACTTTTTTAAATGGGGTACCTTCCCTACATATTGGCAGAAGTAGTCAGACAACTGGTGGAATCAGCCCATTCTTCTACAGTTTATATACAGTTTTATTCCCTTTGTGAAGTTGGTAATTTAAGCCAGGTTTTCTCAACTTTGGCACACTTCAAGTCAGAAAACTTTGCTGTGGGGGCTTTTCAGCAGCCTTCCCCGCCTGTCTGTAGATGCCAACAGCACTTCCCTTGTTCCCCTGGACACTGCCACAGTTCTCTCAGGGAGCAAAGTCACCCTCTCCCCATGATTAAGAACTACTGTTGTAAGGATGGTGCTAGGATAAGAAGGACATAAGAGTTGGACACTAAGTCCAAGGATCTGAAACCCAGGCTCTGTCACATATGAGCTCTGCGTCAAACAATTCATTGATTTCCTCAAACCTCACTTTCCTAATCTTTTTAATGGGACAATCATATCTATGCAAGAGGTTCATTGCTCTTTGATGAGGAGATGAGATCATTTAGAGCAAGAACAGAAAATTATAGCCTGGGTCCAAGTCCAAGTCACAGCTTATTTTTGTATGGATTTTGAGCTAAGAATATTTTTTTATGTCTTTAACAGTTCTAGGAAGAGAGTATGAATAAGAGGAAGGAAACGAGAGGGGCGAGAAGGAAGAGAACTACGAATACTCTCTTACTACTTTGTGTCAGAGACTGTATGAATGTAGCTTACAAAGCCCAAAAACTGCTTATTATCTGGCCCTTTAGAGGAAAAGTCTGCCAACCCTTAATATGATAGATGTGACTTTTAAAATCTTTTATGTATAAGTACAAGTTAATATTTATTTAATGTGACCTAACTCTGCCAAACTTCTGGGACTTGCAAAGTCCATGAAGAGACAGTAAATTTCTGACCCCAAAGTTCTGTGGACTGGATCTAAAGTCATACCCTCACTCTAGGCAGGGCAAGGCTACCAGTTCAGTGTGCCGTTACATTTAATCTTGTACTTTGATGGGCTCATAATAAGAAATATGAAATGATCTGGTCTGCTTCACTTTCATTCCTCATGGACGTAGGGGTTCTTCAACTGCGAAAAGACTTACCTCAAAATCGATAACAACAGGATTATACTTTAATGATCTCCCCCAGTAACGGTATGTAATAGTGCTGCTGTTTTGTGTCAAACCACCGCCCCAGCCAGAGCTGCCACCTCGCACTCTAGAAATGATGTCTTCCACAGCCATGGACTTCTTGTCTTTCTCTCCTATCAAGAAGATAGATGATTGCATTAGCTGATTTCCCAAAAAGCCAAAGTAGTAGTTGGTGAGCTCCACTGATGAGGTTTGGAATGGTGTTTCTGTGCTCTCTGTAGAATTGGTTCCCATTCTTCTACTCTGCTTGGTTAACTAGCAGGACAAAGCAGATGGAAGAACCAGTTCAACATGGAAAATCAGGAGATGGGAAATTACAGCCTAGAAGGCAATGGCCATCCTCTCCTTCATTTATATGTCAAGTGTTAGCTTAGTGTGTGCTCAACGCCAAGTAGGTTTGATCAAATATTATAGGTGCTATGACAGATATCATTATAGGGCTCAGTGGGAACACAAGGAAAGAAGCAGTTAGATATTCAGTGGGAGAGGGTGGGGATCAGGAAGGAAGGTGAATGTTTTCCAGGTAAATGGAGAGAAGATGGAAGGACATCAGAGAGAGGAAGAAATTTGACTTAAGATGAGTAACCAAAAGCAATGGATGAAACTTGAACCTGTTTAATGTGTGCTTTGCCCACTGCTTTGTAAACTCTTTCATAATCCCCTAGTCCTCTGCCTCTCACCAGAAAAAAAATACTGATAATATTTGGTGAATAAATGAGCGAATCAATACATGAACACTCATATTGGCTTGTTTAAGAAACACCAACAAATTTCCATGTATACTCCTCTAATCATTATTCTTTGATCTTGGACTTGGTTATCATGACCTCTCTTCACAGACTTCCTCTAGACTTTCATCTGCTGAGCCTTCATTTCAACAGACCACTTTTCCAGACTGAATCTATACCTTACTTTTATCCTGCTTCTTGTTTGGACCTTGTCTAGTGCTTGAAATGTACTAGGATTCCCCAGAATAAGTCAAATATTTCTAAGGTGGTTTCAGTGTATGATGGATTAAAAATAAACCCAAGATACACAAGTCATGATTTGAGGTAGTTAGCATCCAAAGAGTGACTATTGACTGAAATGGAATTAATTAGGGGAAGAAAATCACTTTTGTGCCCCAATTGTGTATTTGAAGGAATTTCTGGCTTCTCTTTTGGGAAGATCTATTTTTAAACACTTGCCAGCATTGCCAAATCCAAATTTTTCACAATGTCCTCCTGATAAACTTCCTTCAAATCCTATCGTGTCATCACGTTCAAAGCCAATAGCACCTCCAATGCATGTCTTGATATATTTGTCGGTAATACCTGCAGTAGGAGACAAACACAAAATGCTAAGATAATAAAAGACAGTTGACATGGAAGAGTCAGCTCACCATAGCAAAAGCTAACTTCAACATCATTGTCTCATAGAACTGGGTTGAAATCTCAGTTCTTTAACCCAATTTCACATTTATCTTCTGTATTGTTCCAATTTAAATACCTCTTAGAATGAGTATATATTGTATGTATGTATTTAGTCATGTGTTATACATATTAGCTGTTCCAAAATGTTAGGATTTTTTTCTTTTGCCCATTCTCTTCTGAACCTTCTTGGAACAATGATTCTAAGCATCCATCTCCATATGGGTCAGGGCCTATCACAGTGCCTGGCCCAGGATGGCACTATTTTGTACAGGTGGTCCCTCAATATAAATGCCTTCCTCCCTCGTTCTTCATCTTCTTTCTACAGTTCAATCAAGCTCTTATTCAGGTATCATTTACTCCAGGAAGCCATTTTAGATTAGAATAATCCATGCTTTCTTCAGAGGTACCAGTGTTCTTTGTGCCTTGAATGGTCATATTCATCACAATTCTTCTCCTGGTCTTTTTGCCCCAGAGGGGTCAGAATCCTGCTAGGAGATGTAGATATCACCACAGGAAGTCTGTCTGCTCTACAGACTGTCAGTGTCACATTACCTATCTCTGAACTTGTCTACATCAAGGACCCACTGAGGAACCTGCATTTTGCAGATGAGGAAAATAATCCTTAAAAGCCGTAAAGCTATTTTGCCCTGACCATCCAGCTTGTCAAAGAACAGAGGTGGTTTCTAAGCCTAGGTCTGCCTCACAAGATAGGGCTAGATAAATATATTGGAGTAAGATATGGACCATGCTACAGAGGTCAAATTTATCTGTAGCTATCAGGGTCTTCTGAAATTTATAAACTAGAATTTGTACTTTAAAACATCATTCCTAGTCAGGCATGATTGCCTGTAATTCCAGCTACTTGGCAAGTAGAGGCAGGAGGATTGAAAGTTTGAGATCAGCCCAGGGAAAGTTAGTGAGACCTTATCTTAAAAACAAAATAAAAACAAAAATGGATGGGATACAAATCAAGTGATACAGTGTTTGCCCAGCAAACATGAGGCCCTGAAGTCAATCCCTAACACCACACAAACAAACAAGCAAACAATAAATAAATAAGTAAACTGCAATAGTTATCAGTTCACTGGGTTATTCTGGCAAGAGCAAAGAAAAAATAATTTAAGAGTAATCTAATGATGAATATTTTCAAGGGGCATTGAGGATCAAACTTTACTTGCCTGTATCCCCACTGGTCTAAAAATTCTGTGAGCTCAAGGACTTGTTTTTAACTCATGATTATCTCATCAGCACAGCAGCACAGTGTCTGTCATAGTGTAGGATTTCAGTAAGTATTCAGCATAAATAATTGATGAATGAAGGGGGAAAAAATGAGTGTATAAATGAATGCCATGAGTCCTTTGTAAGGGTTTCCGGTAGAAGATATCTTAGAACTTCAAATCCCAGTCACTAATACCCTTTATGAACTTGGAAAAGACTCACAACTCCACTCACTGGGCCTCAGTTTCCCGTTTATGGAAGGAGAGGGTTATCCTGATCACAGTCCTCAATGACTGAATAAAAATCAGTTTCTAAATAACTCCCGAGCTGGAAGTGCCTGGGGAAGAGATGCTCTGAACGCCGCCTTCAGCCACCAAGTAAAGGGCTTCTTCTGCCTTTTCCATTCAAGCACTTCTAATTTTTAATGCATAACTAATTGATGAAGATTTAGCATATTTAATTGTTTTGATTAAAAAGGGCTTCAACAGTGATAAACAAAAGTGGATGAAAAGAATTCACGGGCAGAAGCCAAAGTGATTACTTCAGTAAGTGGTAGAGTGCTGCCGAATTAAAGTGACGGGACTGGCTGATGAACGGGGGCTGGAGGATGCCTGTGGAGTGATTATGCTCATGAAGGATCTGCCAACAGCCTGCCACGAGCTGCTGGGAGAGGAGAATTCCAGCCTGATTTGAGCCGTGAGACTTGACGGTAAAGGATTGCCTTCTGAGGACCCCAAAGTAGGGTACCAGTTGGCAAGGGGAGGACTGGGACTCATAAAAAAGTCGTGGAACCTGAGAGCTAAAGTGCCCTCAGATACCGAGCCCACACTCCTCATTTATAGTCAAGATGCTTGAGGTTCACAATGGTTAATTATCTTGCCTAAGGCCATATAGCTGAAGATGGTGCGGCTGAGATTCTTATTCATGTCTGTCTTGCTCAGAAGCCTGCAGTATTTTCAATCAATCTAGTTATTGCATCAGACTAAAAAAATTCTGCTGTCTGAGAGACAAATTGAATAAGCATCTACTGTGCACCATCACGAGCACATCGTGTGTTAGCCAGGACAGCCATCTTGAGAATAAAGTAATATGAATAGGATGTGAGTCTGAATAAGAAAGGTCCTGTCCTTGGGAAGATAGCAGGTGTGGGGCAATGTACTAAGTGAAGATTAATTTGTATCTGACAGTTGCTTGTTTCAATATCCCAGTCAAGGAGAGGGGTTCTCTCACTGGAAGTTGTGGGAGATGCCAAAAGCAGAGCTAGCTACAGAAAGCCCATGAGACAGCCAGCTGGGATGGGGCAGAGGAAATCAAACCAGTATCAAAATCCAGGAGCTGAAACTGACATGGGGAAATAGGACCCAGAACAGAGAGACAAAAGCAAGGAGTTAAGAGGAACATGGCGGAAGGAGCACAGAAATGTGTCCTTTGGTAAACTGACCATATCTGGAAAACCAGGCAACATTCTGCCAAAGCTTCATTCTGCCAAGGCTCCACCCCTGTTCCATAAGGCTTGGCTCAGAAGATGTTGACTTTGGACTGGATCAAACTGGAGTTTGTTCTGGACTTTTAAATTTAGTGAACAATGATGTCCATCATTCCCAAACCGGCTGCCTACTGAGGTCATCTGGAGTGTTGATTAAAATGCAGGTTCCTAGGAACACCTCTTTCTATTCTGAATCTGAGAAACCAGAAATCTGTATTTTAAGCAAGTATCTGTGATGATTACTTTGTGGAGTATCTGGGACCATACATTGTAGTACCAGGGTGCTATAGAGGTCTTCTGGTGGCTTGCCTCAGTGTACTGTCTCTTCTTTTCTGGCTGCTCAATTAATGCTTTTGTCAATGCCTTACATATGGACATAGCAGCCAGGCTCATCAGATCCACTCAAAATAAGAACTAGACAAAGCCATGGATAATTCAGGCTAACTAGTCAGGATCCAAAAATGGCCTCAAGAGACTGGATGGATATACAGACCAAGCATTGCAAATGAGACTCAATTGGGAAAACTGTAACATCCTACACCATGGGGCCAGAACACCAAAAACATGAGTACTGTAAGGAATAGACAGAGCTTAGCAGAAGAACTAAAGTAAGGTAATAAAGCCAGGTGAAAATTATTGTTGGTAACATAGAGGTGATAATCTCATGCCCCCCCCCCCCTCCACAGCTTAGAGAAATGATGAGCCTGGTGCAAAGATCTAGGAGCAACACATCAAGAAGGAAGAATTTCCTTCAATGAACATTATTAACCCTTTAAATAAAAGGAAATCCTGCAATATATGGTAATGTGGATGGACCTGGAGGACATTATGCTAAGTGAAGTAAGCCAGGCACAGGACAAATGCTGCATGCTTACACTTGTAGGAGGTATCTAAAACAGTCATACTCATAGAGTTAAAGAGGAGCATAATGGTTTCCAGGGTCCAGGGTGAGGGGCAAAGTTGGGGAGCTAATCAATAGAGCCTGGATTCTGCAAGATGAGTGAGTTCTCAAGATCTGTACAATATTTTCCCTATAGTTATTGACACAGTATTATATGTACAAAATTTGGTTAATGGGTACTGGGGTAGATGTCTTGTTAAGTGCTCTTGTTTTTTTTTTTGGTGGTACTAGGGTTTGAACTCAGACCCTTCACCTTGAGCCACTCCACCAGCTCTTTTTGTGATGGGTTTTTTTTTAGATAGAGTCTCACAACTTGTTTGTATGGACTGGATTTGAACCTCGATCCTCCTGATCTTTGCCTCCTTGAGTAGCTGGGATTACAAGTGTGAGCCACCTGCACCCAGCTAAATTAAGGGCGCTTACCACAATAAAATAAAGCTTTTAAAAAAGAAAATAGAGAAGAATAAGCACAAGGGTGAAAATATTCAAAACCACATCCTTTAGATAAACTGGGGATGTTTATCTGAAGGAGTGAAGAAAGGCACCTCTTTAAGAGATAGGTCTGGATGAAATTATCCAGGGCTGTCTTGAGAGAGAGGAATTTGCAATGGCTTGTTTGTACACAAGCCATTCTTGCAAGGGCAAGAAGTAGCAAAAGTATAAAAGGACAGAGGCTCCAGGAAGGCAGGCCTAGGCACAACATGAGACATCATTACGATGATCAGAGGCCAAGCAGAGGTAAGTTGTCTCAGAGGGCAGTGAGCTCCCTGTCACTGCAGGAGACCAAGCAAAGACTGATTAGCTGCTTTTCAGGGGTATAGTAGAAAGGATTGAATCATAGAAAAGCTCTGTGGACTCTTCTTTAATGTTAAAATTCTGAAATTTTAAGAACAAACCAGAACACTTTAACAACAGTTGACACAACTTTGACAAGTACCTAATGATGTTTTATTGTGCATAAGGCATCCTGAAAGTAACAGGGTCTGAGGAGAGCCAATGAGCTTACAGTCAAGTATGGGGAGACTGACAAACAGGCAACTGTTGTACCATGAGAGGAGGGTTGTGATTTAGGGCAGCATGACAGGAAGGTTTCCTTGTGGTCAGAGGAAGGATGACAGACACGAGTAGGAAAAGCAGGGCATAGCCAAAGAAGACAAGGAGAATATAGAGAGCAAGGGAGACCATGAAGAGAATTTGTGTCCCCAACAGTTAGAGTCTGCTCAGAAAGGCCCAGTGACTTCCCATCCAGGAGGAAAAGTGGAAATGCAAACACTAAGACCCAAGGAAGTGCAAGGG